ACTCCAGGATCATGACCTGAGCTGAAGGCAGTCGCTTAACCAACTGAGCCACCCAGGCGCCCTTAACTTTTTTTGATACAGAGAAATAACAGTAGTGTACACTCAAGGAAATTTTTTTGAGTTCAAATAACCATGTCATAGTCCTTTTTATTTTATCATCAGTCAACTGAAGACTGCCTATATTTTAGAGTGTGAGAGATGTAGAGTATCAGTATAGTGCCTGGTTTGATGTGAGCATTCAGCCAAATTATCCAATTTATCTTAACTTTTCCTACGTTAATACATCCTGTACTATATTTTCTAGTAAGTCTACCACTGTAATCTGATCTTTCCCCGTCGTTCCTTCATAATCTTCCATGTAAAACTCCTTTTGAAAAATTACAGCCTTTTCTAAAATAGCCTTTGAATCCACTTTTTCCTTGACATTTTTGTTAAAATTCTGTAAGTTATTTGGTACATTTCCCAATTTCAGGATTTATGTTCATTTCGTACTATGTAACTTACATTTATGCTTATGTTTGTTTTTGTTTTAATTCTTATTTTATATTTTGAGTTTCTTGTGGATATCGAGTACATAGATCTGTTTAGTTTTCTCAAGGTGTATAACGTACAAAGTGTAAATTCATTAAATGTATTTGAATGCAAAAATGGGCACATTAACATTAGTTAAATAGTAGAGTTCAAAACTTCCGAAAATCATTCATTTCATACTTTAAATGTTGACAGGTTTCAGTTTTGTCAGATATTTGTGGAAAGGAAATTAGAAATCTAAGCTCAGAATAATTTTTCTATTTAGCAGGCACAATACAGATTCAGAATACATGAATCTGCCTTCTTTCTCTAAATAGGTTTTACTTTCTTTTCAGATTGTTGCCAGCAAAGGAGGTTTTGAAATGGTCACAAAAGAGAAGAAATGGTCTAAAGTGGGTAGTCGCTTGGGATATCTGCCAGGAAAAGGAACTGGGTCTCTTTTGAAGTCACATTATGAAAGAATTCTCTACCCATATGAACTTTTCCAATCTGGTGTCAGCCTTATGGTGAGATGCATCTTTTTTTTTTTTTTTTTTTTTAGGAGTAGATAAATCCAGTCTGCCAAATATGAATGTTAGACTGTGTTCACCGTAACAAGTTAGCAGTTCGCTAAGCATAGCAAGTTAAAAAGATTTCTCCAGGTACCAATATTTGGGGTAGCAAGATGTGATTTAAAAATTGCAGCTAGTTTTGGTGGTTTACAAGATGAAGGCCAATGGGAATGAAGGATGTTTTCTTTTTTTTTTTTTTTTATTATTTTTTTTATTCTCATGTTAATCCCCATACATTACATCATTAGTTTTAGATGAAGTGTTCCATGATTCATTGTTTGTGCATAACACCCAGTGCTCCATGCAGAATGTGCCCTCCTCAATACCCACCACCAGGCTAACCCATCCTCCCACCCCCCTCCCCTCTAGAACCCTCAGTTTGTTTTTCAGAGTCCATCATCTCTCCTGGTTCGTCTACCCCTCCGATTTCCCCCGCTTCATTCTTCCCCTGAAGGATGTTTTCTTATTTATTTAAAATAAATTCTTATTACTTACGCTTTTTGAAAAATTCCTCCTTTGGTTTCATGTATTTTTTTAACAGCTTTTTGAGGTTATAATTTGCATACTATAGAATTCAGTCATTGTAGATACACAGTCAGTAAGCTTTAATAAATTATACATTTATGCAGTGATCACCACAGCTCAGTTTTAGAATATTTCCATCAGCCCACAAAGTTCCTTTGTGTTTGGTTGTAGTTGGTTCCTGTTTGTACCCCCAAACCCAGATAAACACCTGATTTGCTTTCTGGCTCTGTAGTTTTTTGCCTTTGTAGAAATTTCACATAGATGGAATTATACAATATAATTTTGTGTCTGGCTTCTTTCACTTAGCCTAATGTTTTCAAGGTTCATCTATGTTTTAGCCAGTATTAGTACTTCATTCCTTTCATGGCTGAATAATAGTCCATTGTATGGATATACCGTATTTGTTTATCCATTTACCAGTCGGTGGACAGTTGGATTGTTTCCAGTTTATGGCTATTATGAATAAATGCTATGAATATTCATGAATAAGTCTTTGTGTGGACATATGTTTTCATTTCTCTTGGGTAGATACCTAGGAGTGGAATTGCTGGGTTATATGGTAAGTTTATGTTTAACTTTTGAAGAAACTGCCAAACTGTTTTCCAAAGTGGCTGAACCATTTTACATTCCCACCAGTAATGTAGAGGCTTCCAGTTTCTTCACGTCTTTGCCAACACTTGGTATTGTCAGTTTTTTTGCTTATAGCCATTCTAGTGGGTGTGTAGTGGTATCTCATTGTGGTTTTAATTTTCATTTCCCTAATGACCAATGGTGTTGTGCATCTTTTCATGTGCATATTAGCCATTTGTATATCTTCCTTGATGAAGTGCCTGTTCTGATCTTTTTTTTTATTGGATTGTTTGTCATCTTACACTTGTTTTAAGAGTTTGCTATATAATCTGGATACAAGTCTTTTATCAGGTATATGATTTTACAAATACTTTCTGCTAGTCTGTGGTTTATCTTTTCATTTTTATAATGGTGTCTGTTTGAAGAGTAGTTTATTAATTTCCTTCCCCCCCTTTTATGGATTGTGCTTCTGTTGTCATATCTAAGAAATCTTTTCCTAACCCAAGGCCCCAAAGATACTCTTTTTTGTTGTCATCTAGAAGTTTTATAGTTTTAGCTTTTATATTTAGGCCTGAGATCATTCTGAGTTTTTTTTTTTTTTTTGTATGTGTATAGTAGGAGGTAGAAGTATTTCATTTTGGGGAAGGGAGGGGAAATGTATATGTATATGAATATTCAGTTGTACCAGTGTCATGTTTAAAAGACTACTACCCTTTTCCTGTTGATTTACCTGGGCACCTTTGTTGAAAATCAGTTGACTACAAATGTGGGTTTATTTCTGGTCTCTGTTTTGTTTTTTGGTCCGTATACTTACCCTAACACCAATACTATACTGGTCTCGAGTACTGTAGCCTTATAGTAAGTTTTGATATCCAATAGTGTTAGTCTTCCAACTTGGTTCTTCTTTTTTCAGAATATCCAAAGATTTTGCATTTCCACATAAATTTTAGAAATTTACTTCTCAATTTCTACAACAAAAGCCTGCTAGGATTTTGATAGGGATTGTCTTGAATCTATAGATCAATTTGGTGGGTAGAATTGTCATCTGGTTTCATGTAGTTTTGGGGATTTATTGGAAATTTAATACTTTTCCCCTGATTCTCCAGTCTGATTTCTTATCAGTGAACCTGTTCTCTTTCTGTGCTCTGATTCTTTAGGGTGTACAGATGCCTAATTTAGATCTTAAGGAAAAAGTAGAGCCTGAGGTTCTTGGCACTGATGTCCAAACTTCCCCAGAGCCAGGCACAAGAATGAACATTCTGCCGAAGAGAACAAGGCGTGTCAAGTCTCAGGTATCAACTTCCATGGATCATTTTTAACAGGAGTTTTAAGTGTATTGACTGCAGAACAATTTTGTGGTTATTGGAGTCATTCATGTACTATTTTTTAGAACGTGAAGAGACCTGTCTTTCATTTACCTTTAAGATGAATGGGAAGAAATTGTAAAATTCAGTCTGATTTAGAAAGTTTTTTGTTAATTTTGAACAGTTTTGACGAGGAGGACAAATCAGAGGGTGACTCTGGGTACTGTAGGGCCAGTGTTATAGACATGCTGATGAACTGTAGTATATTTTATTTTCGTGGTTAGCAAAAATGAGAGGAGTAGGAAAGGGTGGTTTTATTTTTCTTTCATTCCTTTAAAAGCTAGAGTATAAGTTTTGGTGTTTGAACCATTCCAATGTTAACTTCTGTAGTGTTCTTGTAGCCTAAAATAATTTCATCAGAAGAAAAATGCCCTAATTTCTTCTTGTCTGCATCTGTCCTCCTTTCCCCATTCTCATTTGTGGTCCTCAGAGAGTGTTTTTGGTGTTTTTTTTTTCCAATATTTTATTTATTTATTTGAGAGCACAAGCAAGGGTGAGAGGGCAGAGGGAGAGGGAGAAGCAGACTCCCCGCTGAGCAGGGAGCCTGATATGGGGCTTGATCCCAGGACCCTGGGATCATGACCTGAGCCGAAGGCAGATGCTTAACCAACTGAGCCACCTAGGTGCCCCCTCAAAAGTGTGTTTTTAAAGTTGACAGGTCCATAGGTTGGGACAGTAAGATGCTGCTTTCCTTGCTCTGAATTTATGCTCCTTAAATAATCTCCTGAATAATAATTTAGCTTCTTAGGTACTTTGATAAGAGAAAGGTAGGTGTCTTGGATTGCGAATGTGAATTCAGTGGAAATTCACTGGAAAGTGAATTATAAATTTATGTTCATTTATTAGTAAATTACCAATATGTAATATAAATTGTTTAGTAATTCATAATTAAATAATTTTATTGCATTATAGTATAATTATAATTTATATTTAGCATAATGAGAATTCTTAGTTATAAACCATTACAAATTAGTAAACTCTGGTTTAGTCATTAAGTGATTTTTATTACTGTGGTTGATCTCAAAAGTTCTAATCATCTTTGGGTGTATAGTGATGATTCTGTTTCAACACCTGAAACACTTGAAGACTAGTCTCTGACTTGGTGACTCAGTTTTGAAGAGTTGCCCCAGTTGGCTCTGCTCCTCCAATGAGTTGACAGCTTGTGATGAAATTTCTTTGAATGTTCCTTTTGAAACCATGAAAAAGCGCTGTTGCTCATTGCCTATATATATGAAAGGACTACATAGAATGTTTTTACTCATTGTAATAATTGTCATTGTAGTCAGATTGGTTGGTACCAGGTAGAAACTAGAACCATTGTCAGCTTTTCAATGAAGAATTTGTTCAACTCACAATTTGTCCTTAATTACTATATTGCCTAGTCTGCCTCATTCTTAGTCTTCAATTTCAGAAAGAAGAGAAAGGCTTTCTGGTAGAATTCCTTCGACTTCTTGCCCCATACACAGAATTGTTGGTATTCATTCTTAATTTCTGCCAATCTCTGTGAGCAAAGGGTACCTTTGTCTCTAAGGATAATCTTCCCACATCTGTCCTTTCTGGCTTCTTTAGGGATTTTAATAGATCACTTGTGAAATCTCTCTCTCTCTTACCTCTGTCTGCTGGATCTCCTCCTACCCCCAGTGTAAATGTGTTTAAAGTCTCTGTCATCTTAAAACAAAATCTCCCTAGGAAGGGAGATTTTGCCTCTTTTCATGAAGTTTCTTGAAAAACAGTTGATGTTGTCTCAGTTTCCTTAGTATCTGTTTAGCTTTTGTACTATGTAATCTGACATTGAGCTAAATCATTTTATTGAAACTGCACCACCCCAGTTACCACCGAGTTAATAATTGTCAAAAGCTGAGGACCTTTCGGGCGCCTGGGTGGCTCAGATGGTTAAGCATCTGCCTTCGGCTCAGGTCATGATCCCAGGGTCCTGGGATCGAGTCCCACATCGGGCTCCCGGCTCAGCGGGGAGCCTGCTTCTCCCTCTGACCCTCTCCCCTCTCATGCTGTTTCCCTCTCACTCGCTCTCTAAAAAATAAATAAAATCTTTAAAAAAAAAAAAAAAAAGCTGAGGACCTTTTTTTATTTCTTCTTCATCTCTGGTCATATATACATTTAATACAGTTGTTGACTCCTCTCCTTGAAATTCAGTTAACTTAATTTTTCTTTGGCTTCCGTGATGCCTCTCTCGGTTATCCTCTTCACTCTCTGACCTCTCCTCAGTCATCTTTGTTCTCTCTTACCATTGCCCTTTACATGGTATTTTAAGTCTTTTCCTGTCTTTGTTCTCCCTAGCTGTCTTACCTACCCTATGATTTCGATTACTACCTGTACACTCAGGACTCCTAAATATGTCTTGACACCCATGTTTCTTTTCTGTTTACCAGGGATGTGTGTGTGCATATGGTATATGTATATCCCTGAATGCATATTGGTGGCCACAACAGATATGCTGAATTCAGCGTATCTCAAACATTATCACCTTCTCTAAATCTGTTTTTCCTTTGTTATTTTTTAGCTTAGTGTCCATGACAAGTACAGCCATCCAATAGTATCTTAAACAAGAAACAGAAGTTATGAAAGTTAAAAAAAAAAAAAGAAGTTATGAAAGTTATCCTACTCCCCTTTCTTCTATCACATCACTTGCTTTACTCCTCTATGATTGTTTTTATTCTTTTTTTTTTTTAAAGAATAGATAAATAATATTTATTTTAGAGAAAGAGAGAGAGAATGAAAGCACATGCAAGTGGGGGAAGGGGCAGAGGGAGAGGAAATCTCAAGCAGACTCTCTGTTGAGCACAGAGCCTGATGCAGGGCTGTATCTCACAACGCTGAGATCATGACCTGAGCCAAGGTCAAGAGTCAGATACTTAACCGACTGATCCACCCAGGCACCCCTGCTATGATTGTTTTTTCATCCGTGACCTCACTTGTGAGCTTTTTGAAAGTTGGATTCATAGTTTGTCTGTATGAAGGGTTATTAGACCTTTAACACATTTATACATTAGAATGAAGCCCATAATGCCAGTGTATCTCATTATTGGTGACACTAGGTTTGAGCCAGGTTTCTCCATTATACTTATTCTCTTTGTAATAAAAGTAATCAGGGTAAACTATAAGATAGGGTGAATAACCTGTCTTCCAGTTAAGTTTTACCCAGTAGTTTTCCCATTCATTGATGATCTTACCTGAGTTAGTTGTTATGTTGGTGGTTGCAGGCTGGGTGATTTTCTAGCTCTGTCATTTTCTACATTTGTTAACATTTTTCTTTAAAGGAGAACTCTTCTCCCACACTTTCTTGAGGTATTTTTTTCATACAGTAAAATGTTTTATATCTTAAGTGTACAGTTTGGTGAATTTTGATGAATGTGTGTACCAGTGGGACCATGACTGACCCCTGCTCCTTTTTAGTATCACTATAGATCATGATTTTTTAAAAATACAATGTCTTGTAATTTATTACAATCTCTTACTCCTTTTTGATAATCCTGTTGTTCCAAATTTGGCTAATGGGAACCCCTTCAAGCTGGTTCATGATACTCTTTTGACATGTCTCCATCCTTTTTGAGCACTTATTTAGCACAAAAAGGCTCATTGTCTTCTTGCCTTGCTTTAGACCTGGAATCAGCCATTTCTCCACAGAATTCTGGTTCATTTTAGTGTGAAATGATATTTAGAAACTGAGATCTGAGCACAAGGTGTGCTTGTTCCTACTGGGATGCCATTGCTTTTGGTAGGCCCTTTTAGTGGTTAGGGCTGGGAAATAAAATTTAAAACATTATGAGTTTATATTTTCAGAAATGGACTGATAATTCCAGTTCTAATCTAGCATCACAGAGTTCTTTTGGTTTATGTTGTAGCTCTTTTCCTAGCTTTTTGAGATGGAAACTTAATTTATTTCCATTCTTCTGTTTTGACTGAGATGTTAAGACTATAAAACTTCCTGTGATCACTACTTTAATTTATTCTGGAGATTCTGATGTATAGTCTTTTTTTTGTTATCATTTTTAATAGGAAGTTAAAGTTTTCTAACAGGTCTTTTTATTTTTTATTTTGTTACTTCTAGTTTTTATTCTATTAAGATCAAATAATGTTTTATTATTTGTACTTTTTGGAACTTTGTCGTCTGTCTGAAACGGTTATTGTGAGGATTAATTGATTAAAATACTTCTATATGGTACATAGTATCTACTTAGTGTATGTTAGGTTTTCTTATTATGTATTGTGCATTAATAGTGATGAAGAATGTATAGTGTCGTGTTTATCACTGGACTGACTGTAGAGGTTGATTAGTATAATTAAATCAATCTACTAAAGTTTAAATATATATATTAAAATGCCATTTTGGTTGGTTTGGTTCTTATATGATCATAGACTTATAAAGTCTGTATTTTATTCTGATTTATTTTTATTCTTATTGACTGTATTTTTAATAAGTTTTAGTTATTTACTTAGTGTACATTCAGTGTGTATGGTCCATCTGAATTCATGGTGTAACATTTGCATCTATCAGGATGCTCTCATCTTCAAGTACTAGAGTGCCAAATGACATCAGCTTAAACATTAACAACACAATTTTCACATAAGGACACAGTTTTCACATAAGATTTCCAGAAATAGGTAGTTCTAGGATTGATGCAGCAACTGCACATTGCCATGAAGGGCCAGGCTCTTTCCATCTTTCTACCTTGCTTTCTTCAGTGTGTGGGTAGTATATCTTTTCCTAATTGCAATGTGGTTGTTAGAGTCCAGAGCAATGCTTTCACCAGGCTGAATCTCCTAACAGTAGGGAAGGAAGTTGGGGTAAAAGGCTTATTACTCTTTATAAGAAGCTTTCTCTTTTATTAGAAGATGAAAATCTTTCCTGAGGCTTCTAGTAGATGTTCTCTATGTCTCGTTGGTCTAGACCAGGATAACATTTCCTCTCCTAGCTAGGTCATCACTAACAAAGGGAAATGGCATGGTTGGCTTAGGATAATCATTATTCATCTAACAGGATGGGCATATTGCCTTCTGATCAAAGATGAGTGTCCATTAGCAAAGTAGAAGTGAGGATTTCTATTATTACCAGTATTATACTGGTTATAACCAGTGGCATTTGTCTCTGGACAGAACCTAATTGACAGCTGTGCTTTTAATAAAGAGATTTTCTTTTGTGGAAAGGAAGCTGGGTGTTGCATAGTGCTTGGATGACTATTCAGCTGTTGTAATGAGGCAGTGAGTGGATTTAGAGAGAAGAAATAAAATATTTTTTTCTTCATATTGGAGAGGATCTTGAAACTTTCCTCGCGTAAGAAAATAAATGTATGAATCAGAATGATTAATGTGAGTTTTGTTTATTATTTTTTTAGGCAGAATCTGGAGAAGTGAACAGAAACACGGAACTGAAGAAACTTCGAATTTTTGGGGCTGGGCCTAAGGTCGTGGGCCTAGCAATGGGAGAAAAAGATAAAGAAGGTAAAATATCTTATTCGGTCATGAAAAGAAATAAGATATAGCCATATGGTTCTAATAAGATTCAAATATTTGAATTGCATTTTGCCTTGGGATTTTCTTATGAGTGTAAACATTGGAACGTGGTTCCTAGACGGATCACCTTTTATGGCATATAATCTTAAATTTAAGACTTGAGGAACCATATTTTATTGAATTTTTGTAATATTTGGAAGAGAGAAATTTTCCTTTTCCATGTCTAATATGTTACGCAGAAATTTATAGTTTCTAAAGGCTAGTTTAGGAGAGAATGGTGAAATGAATGGTTCTTACCTGGTGATCCATAGCTTATAACTTTTAAATTCAAAGACAGGATTCTCTGACCTTTAGTAACAAAATGTACTGTGGAGAGCTTATGACTAAAATTCTTATTCTGATTTTGTTATTTTTCCATAATTGCCTTGATATGACACTTCATTTAAATAAACTGTGTTTGAAGAAAGCCTTGTACTCTCAGCTTAGTAGGTTTGAAACTTTCTGAGTAAAATTGCTTATGCAAAGATCAAGTTCCACTATTCTCTCTATGTACATGTCAGTTTTAAAACTCTACAAAGATTGTGTTGGATTTGTTTTTAATGTATATGAATTTAATGAAATGCTGTAATCACAAGTCGTATTATTACCCTTTTCATGATATGAGAAATTAAGTCACAATTCAGATTGTGGACGAGAACTCTGGAGGGTCAGATGATATTGTCCCATCACTCTAAAAACATTCAGTGTGATAGGACCTACTAAATACATCATGATGTTTATTATCACCCTTCTAAGAATTAAGCAGTTTATCTTTTTCATTCTTGTACTTACTGCATTGGCTGGCAGTGATCTTAAAACTCGTCTCAATTAGTCCCTGATAAGCACTACATACAGGCAGTATAGAATTAGTAGTTAAGCTCTCTGGAGCTTGATTGCCTGGATTAGATTTCCAAATCTGCCACTGACTGGCTGTGTGATTTTGGGCAAGTTATCTAACTTCTCTATACCTTAGATTCTTTATCTTCAATGGGGATAATAGCATATCTACCTCATAGTGTTTTGAGATTTAATTTAAATTATTTTAAATAGTGTCTGGTCCATAGTAAGCTCTCAACATTAGTTTTTACTATTATTATATAACTATTTTTATTTCAAGATGAGGTCTCCCGAAGACGAAAAGTTACCAACAGGTCAGACGCATTTAACATGCAAATGAGACAACGGAAAGGAACTCTCTCTGTTAACTTTGTAAGTGTTCTGAGATGTGTCAGGAGGGAAAGGATTTATTTTTAGTTTTGCACTTTTTATCTCGTTATATATTGGTATGCCGTTTAGTTAGTTCATTTGGTTAGAAGACTAGATGGTAAATCTAAAGTCGCAACTTTCATTTATGTAATGTGAACCTTGCTTTGTCTGTTTACATTGACTCTTTCCCTGAGTTATCCTCACATGTACCTTGTGAGTGAGAGAATGAATATGAATCTGTAAATTCTTGAGCTGTAATGTGGACAGTGCTCAGTATTCATTCTCTGTCAAAGAGTGTATGTAGGAAGGATGACATGGTGTATTTTATTTATATAATTGACTTTCAAGTAACCTGGATTTGTGGTCTTTCTTTATTCCGGTAACTTGATATGCTTTTATTAACTTGCCTGTAGAAGCACTGAGGAAATTGAGGAAGTTTTATGAAAACTTGTCTAAATACAATCATTTAAAAAATATTCAGGATTTAAGTTATATGTACTTTTAGGGTACATTATTTTGTTTCAATTAAGGAGTTCCTGGTAAAAATTTAATATTATTATTATAGAAAATAGACTTTTATTTTATCTTGTTTGTTTTCTAACAGGTTGATCTCTATGTTTGTATGTTTTGTGGTCGGGGAAATAATGAAGATAAGTTGCTTTTGTGTGATGGATGTGATGACAGCTATCATACATTCTGTTTAATTCCCCCACTACCTGATGTGCCCAAAGGAGACTGGAGGTGTCCTAAATGTGTTGCTGAGGTACAAGCCTGACCTTTACAGATCCTTTTTTAATAGCAGTGATGTTCACATCCACACATACAGTAAACCCATTCTCAAAAGCTCTTGCTTTGTTCTTCAATGTTTAAAATCTCTGGGATTGGGGCACCTGGGTGGCTCAGTGATTAAGCGTCTGCCTTCGGCTCAGGTCATGATCCCAGGGTCCTGGGATCGAGCCCCATGTCCGGCTCCCTGCTCAGCGGAAAGCCTACTTCTCCCTCTCCCACTCCCCCTCTTGTGTTCCCTCTCTTGCTGTGTCTCTCTCTCTCTCTATCAAAAAATAAATAAAATCTTAAAAAAAATTTCGGATTTTTTTAAGAGCAGTATTGAATGAAAATATAATAATTGTATTGCGGCAGCTTACCTTTCAAAAGTTCTTTTTTTGACTATTGGTTAGATAATTCTGTTTATTGCTGAAGATGAATGATACTTTTATTCAGAATGTTAGTATTCTTGGAAAATAATAAAAATGAAGGAAAACTGTAGGTTATATGTCTTTTTAAAATTAAAAAAAATGTAAAAGACGTGAAGCTCTAGAACTTAGGATTTATGCATCCAGTTTTCATGTTACCAGATAAACTGATGGTATCTATTAGCTTGTTTAATTTTTACTTGATTATACTGGATTATTCTTATGGAAAGATTATAAAGACATTATTGTCCTGAAATACCTAATCTGTTTACTTTTTAATTTATTTTTTATTTTTTTATTTTTTAAAGATTTTACTTATTTATTTGACAGAGACAGCGAGAGCAGGAACACAAGGAGGGGGCATGGGCGAGGGAGAAGCAGGCTTCCCACTGAGCAGGGAGCCCAGTGTGGGACTCGATCCCAGGACGCTGGGATCATGACCTGAGCCGAAGGTAGACGCTTAACGACTGAGCCACCCAGGCGCTCCTGTTTACTTATTTTAACAAAATATTGTGATAGGACATGGAAGGGAAGGACTTGGCTGGGCTGTATATAGGTGTATTCAGAGCTTTGAGTTATTCTCAAGGTGAGATGATTCAGAAGCAGTTCTGCTCTGAGAATTTGTGTTAAAATACTGGTCAGGATGATTGATGGTGTGAAACAACCATTCCTATAGCTAGATATTCTTGCAATCCAGTGGATATTCCTTTATCCATTATCTTTCCTTCATCCATGAACATTTATTTTCTCTGTAGCTAAATCCACTGAGAAACAGAATGATAGGCATCCCTAGGCTTGATTGCATGTCGGTAGTTCTCCTGGTGTTTGTCTTGGTGCCAGAGCTTAATGTCAACTCCAGAGTCTGAAGCTCTCTCATTACCACCTTCCTTACGGAAGGCTGTGAAAATGTAGTTGAGGTTCTAGAACATTATTTCCTGATTCTATATTGCAAGTAATTAATACTTGTTTTGCTGTCTAAGATTGATTGGATTTGCTTCACCTAGGGACATGATCAAAGAAGGTAATACCAAGAGCTTTAATATTTTGTTGGTTCATTTTCAGTGAATTAATCTTGGGTATTTCTTCTTCTTAGGAATGTAATAAACCTCGAGAGGCCTTTGGATTTGAACAAGCTGTACGAGAGTATACACTTCAGAGCTTTGGAGAGATGGCAGATAATTTTAAGTCTGATTACTTCAATATGCCAGTTCATGTGAGTATCTGTCATTTAGGTCAGTTTGGGGAGGTATGAAGATTTATCTGAGTCTAAAGCTTTTGGTTTGCTTTCATCATTTTGTGGAAAACAGGGACACATGAAAAAGATGATAGAATATTAAAGATTGAGGGGCCTGGTATCTGTTTCTATATCTTTCACTCGCTAATGTGGCAGTCTGTACTCTTCTGCTGAGAAATCTGCTTTGATACTTGAATTGTTTATTAGCCTTGCGCGAGTAGTCTTTTATAGAAAAGCATGAAGTATGTGGCATTTGCTCTTTTTGTTTAGTTATTTGTAATATGAAGTTTGCTTCTTTTCCTAGGGGATCTTGGGCTTTTAAAATCCCTATCCAAAAAATTTGCCAGACCTGTTAAAATGCAGCCTTGAATTTTTGCATTTCCTTTTTCCTCCTTGATGTGCTTGCCAGGTCATCTGTACATTTCTTAGCTGGGAAATAGCTTATACAAAAAGGCAGTGCAAGTTTATTATGTTTTTCTAAACATCTAGTTTGTCTTTAGCTTTTCCCTAGCCTTAGTGGGAAAAGCTTAGTGGATCCTGGTCTTTTCAGCTCTGGAAATAAGATTTTTTCATTTTATCATGGGTTTGTGTTCACTTGACCTGCATATTATGTTTTAGAAGTTTATGGTTATAGTGAGTTAGTAATCTGTAATCTTTATTTTCCCTGTATAGATGGTTCCTACAGAACTAGTAGAAAAGGAATTCTGGCGGCTGGTGAGCAGCATTGAAGAAGATGTTATTGTAGAGTATGGAGCTGATATCTCCTCAAAAGACTTTGGAAGTGGATTTCCTGTAAAGGATGGTCGGAGAAAGATGCTGCCAGAAGAAGAGGTGCAGAGCAGATAGTAGTACTTGAAACTTACTCCAAGTTGATTTAGCCTTTGCTTAGTAGAAAGCTACCTTTCTCTAATCTAATCTTAAGGGTTTACTTTCATTTAAAATATTAAATATATAGGATTTGGATGTTATAATTTTCAGTTTTAAAAACAATATATTCAAAGTATCTTTAAAAAATTTAACTTTAGGACAACCCTTTTGGGTCACCTCCTTCTTTGGGAGCTTTGTACTATCACTCAAACTTTGCTTTTAAAAAAAATTTAAAAAAAATTTAACTTTGCATTTTAAAACCAATTTAATTAGTTTAAAACTATTATTCCAGTTAGGAGAATTTTGCCTAGCTCTTTCTGTTTGAGAATCTAGAAGGTGATTTAAGAATTTTTTTAAAAAATTACATTTCGTTGATAGGTCCAAAATTAAGTTTCTTTCAGTAACTGAGCAGGTAGGTTTTTAAATATGTTTAAACTGTAACATACAATGAAGTCCTGTCACATTGGAGATGGCCTCTATTTACAAAGCTGAATTAAGATGATCATTCATTTTTCTCATTATTTTGGTCCTTTTTACTTTTTCTTTTCCTCTATAATTGGCAATGATTAAGAGTTTTATTTCCTATTAAAAGAGTTACACATGAGGGAACCTGGGTGGCTCAGTTGGTTAAGCATCTGCCAGGGTCCTGGGATCAAGTCCTGCATTGGGCCTCTCTACCGTGCTCGTGATCTCTCTCTCTTATGCTCTCTGTCACACTCTCTTTCTCTCAAATAAATAAATAAAATCTTAAAAAAAAAAAAAGAGTTACACATGGTTAAAAACAGAGAAAAGGGTTACATAGTGTGATAGGATATACAGTTAAAAGTATAGCCAGCCACTCCAGTTCTCTTAAGGTAACTGTAAGGTATATCTTTTTCCATTCTTTTAATTTGAAGTTGTTTGTATCTTAGGATGTAAAGTATGTCTTTTGTAGGCAGCATATGACTGGATTTGCTTTTTTAAAATCTAGTCTGAGGGTTGCCTTTTGATTGGAGTTATTTAGTCCATTTACATTTAATATTATTGATATTGTTGATTTATGTCTGCCGTTTTGTGATTTTGTATGTCTCGTATGTTTTGTTCCTCCAGCTCTCCTTTGTGGCCTTTTTTTGGTGTTAAACAGATATTTTTCGTAATACCATTTTAATTTTTCCAGATTTTTTTGTTTGGCTGTATACTTTTTAGTTACTTAGTGGTTCTAAGAATTATAATATGCATCTTTTTTTTTAAATGGGTTTATTGACAGTGTACATCTCTGTGCAGCCTACTTCATGTTAATATTGACTTAATTCTGGTGACTGTAAACAACTTTGAAACAGTGTCTCTTTATTTCCTGCTGTCTTTTTTATCTATTATTATATATTGTATTTACATGTTGTATGATTACAACAACACAGCAATATAATTATTACTTTAAACCATTTTACTTTTAAAATACACATATACCCTGTTACACATTTACTCACAAATTTATCATTTCTGATGCTCTTCATTCCTGTGGGATCCGAGTTACCTTTTGGGTTCGTTTCTTTCACCCTGGAGGACTGCTTTTATCTGTAGTGTGGATCTCCTAAGCAATGAATTCTTTCAGTCTTTGCTTATTTGGGAATGTTTTTTATTCAGCCTTCATTTAGTCTTTCAACAGTAAATGCTCAATTTTTTTTTTTCCTTTTGTTGATTTCTAGTGCCTCGAAATGGTTGTTTTGGTAATTTTGTCCAGATTTATCTTTGTTTTCAATGGAGGAATTGCCCAACCTCTTCGTATTACCACTGCTGGAAATTCTTTACGACTAAAAGTCTCCCTTCTGGGGCATCTGGCATCTGGGTGGCTCATTCAGTTAAGTTAAGCGTCTGCCTTTGGTTCGGGTCATGATCTTGGGGTCCTGGGATTCAGCCTTGCGTCGGGCTCCGTGCTCAGCTCCCTCTCCCTCTGCCCTTCACCCACCCCACTGCTTGCACTCTCTCTCTCTCTCTCAAATAATTAATTAAAAAATCTTAAAAAAAAAAAAAGTCTCCCTCCTACCCAAATATCTAGTGTGACAGAGGAAGACCCTATTTTATTTTCTAGTGCATCCTTCCAGATATAGTGTATCTATACAAACATTTATACATCACACATACAGAATTACATACTCTTTTTTATTTACTTGTTTTTTTTATTTTTTAAAGACTTACTTATTTAGAGAGCGCACGGAGAGGGAAGGGACAGAGGGAGAGAATCTCAAGCAGACTGCCTGCTGTGCGTGGAGCCTGATGGGGGGGCTCCATCTCACAACTCTGAGATCATGACCTGAGCTGAAATCAAGAGTTGGACACTTAACTGTGGCACCCAGGTGTCCCTTACATATTCCTTTTAAACAGAAATGGAATATACTACTTACATGGTCTGTACCTGACTTACCTTTTTTGTTTTGTTTTTGAGTCCCTTCAGGCCCTATCCAGTCCATCCTAATTCCTTATAGCATTACCTACCCAGTTTATTCACAGTACCATCTCACTGTGTATTATTCCAACCAATATCTGAGCACTTAATATGTGCGGAGTGAAATTTTCATTTTGTTTTGTTTTTATGATCAAAAGTTGTGAGTGTCTTTTGGGTTTTTTATTATTTTAGCCTTGTTAATTGACTTTTTTCTTTCTGTGAAGATGGAGTACAGGTTACGATAATCAGGTTAGGATAATATAGATTAGAGAATACGTATTGGGTTTTACTAAGGGAGAAAGAATGATTACAGTAGATGGTGAACATAAATTATATAGGGATGGTTTGTTCAGTATCACTAAATTAAATCTGGTTTGTATAAGTATAAAGAGATGCATCAATCTGAGTTTCTTTATACCCTTCCATTGCCAAATGGTAGGCAATTATTGAATTATTGGGAAGAGATTTCATTATATAGCTCTTGCCTTTTTCTGAATTTTATTTCTGTTTTGAATTTTTTTTTTTAAGATTTTATTTGACAGAGAGAGAGACAGTGAGAGAGGGAACACAAGCAGGGGGAGTGGCAGGGGGAAGCAGGCCTCCTGCAGAGCAGGGAGCCGGACATGGGGCTCGATCCCAGGACCCTGGGATCATGACCTGAGCCGAAGGCAGACGCTTAATGACTGAGCCACCCAGGCGCCCCTCTGTTTTGAATTTTTAAGTTGTTCTTGAATGGGTATTTATATCTTCTAATCTTAGAGACAAGGTCATAGAGTTTTTAAAGATTATTTTCAGTGTCAAACCTAAGTGATTAATATTAATAATATAAATAATCCTCCATGTTTGAGTTTTGAATGAATATTCATTTACCTACTTCTGCTTTTGCTCAGTTCACGTTCTTGTAAGGATGTGGAGAAATGCTGGGTTGTAACAAACCATAGTATGCAGAGACAGGTGATACAGCCTTTTTTTCTAGACTGGGTCATGGATTTGTTCTTCATTTTCTAAGCAATAATGTTTTTCTCAGGATACTGTTTTTGTGTTGTAAGATGGAATGAGAGAATCTGTTTGTTACAAAGGGATTTTAAGGACTAATTAGACAATGTGTATAAAACTTTCAGACTTTTTAGGGGTGCCTGGGTGACTCATTCAGTTGAGCAGCTAAATCTTGGTTTCAGCTTGGGTCATGATCTCTGGGTGGTGAGATCAAGTCGCGAGTTGGGCTCTGCGCCCAGCGGGGGAGTTGGCTTCAGGATTCTCTCTCTTTCTGCTCCCCCCCCACATATTCTCTTTCTCTCTCAAATAAATCTTTAAAAAAAAAAAAAGCCTTCAGACTTTTTAATATATTTATATCAGTTCATTACTCCTCTCTGAAAGTTACTGTATTAGAATAGCAGATAACTGCTAGCTTTTCACCAGGAGTCGTACATTTATGTTGAACTTCTGTATGGGTTAGCTCTTGATATCTGATAGCATATTTCTCTGGTATCGTAGTTAACTGGAAAAGTCCTTCCGAAGTTAATGTATTTGTCTTATGAATACAGTGTGCTCTACCAACAGGGCTTCTGAGAAATAAAAAGAGGCATAGGACTTGAAACCTTGGGAACATTTTTTTTTCTTCTTGTCTTTGCTCCATATTAAATCTTTGGCTAAATCCTGCTAATTCACTTTTCATTATTTTTCTATAGGATTGCCTTATTTTTCATACCCACTGCTACCATCCTTGTCTAGGTCCTATCACATCATGTTGGGATGCTTGCCATGCTCTTACATAATGACCACTTGTGGTGGGAGTCCCTAAGACCATCTCCAGGTTCAGTGATTTTTCTGGGAGGACTCATGGCTATGATTTATTATAGTGAAAGAATGCAAAGCAAAATCAGCAAAGGGAAAAGATCCATGGTCCAAGTCCAGAGAAAACCAAGTAGAAGCTTCCAAGAGTCCTCTCCCAGTGGAGGTACACAGGATGCATTAGTATCAAATTGACAATATGTATGAAGTATTGCCTACCAGGGAAGCTCATTAGAGACTTAGTGCTCAGGGTTTTTATTGGAGGCTGGTGACATAGGCATCCTCTACTTAACACATACTAAAATCCCAGACTCCCAGAAGGAAAGCAAGTGTATATAAATCACATTGTACATCCTAGGCATTGTGAATCACTCTGTATTAGTGTAGGGAACTGTTGATCATGTTAAATTTGCATATACCAGCTGACAGAACTCTAAGCAGACTTTTTGCAATCTTAGGCCTGTTATGTTAACCATTTTCTTATTGCTTTTCTCTGTAGTCTTTTTTATATATTGCTTTATTTAAAACTTTAAGGTTGAAAGGTCTTTGGGAGTTCAGTATGCAATTCTGTCTACTTTTGTTTATGTTTGAAATTTTTCATAATCAAAAGTTTAAAAATACTTAAGATACTATGTTTATATTATTTCATTTTTCAAATTCTGTTTTATATCCCTTCTGAGTGTAGGATCAAATCCAAGCTTCTTAGTTTGAAATGTAAGATTAAAGGTACAAGATTCTTCTTTTCTAATCTTATTTCCTGTATTTCTGAGTGTGACTATTCTACTCTTCACCTTCACCAGACAGAACAGTATATTTTTGGTTTCTCTGTTATTTACTGTCAAAGGTTATCTCTTTTTTCCAAGCTGTACTGGGGTTCTTCCTTTTCTATGAAGTTTTGTTAATGATGCAAACCCATCCTGAAAAACTAAAGAAATTGCTCTTTTATCTGTATTTGGAGGTTAATATATACAGCTTTGTCTTTTTTTTTTTTTTTT